CGCTGGGGATGGCAATAGGTTGAATCGGGGTGGGTATTGGGGATTCCCCATCCCTGCCTTCGTTGGGGAATGGGTTTCCCAACCTTACCCATTACCCAAAAAAAAAAAAAAAAACGAATAAAAAGCTAGTTTGTTGTACACAAAAAGAACACTATTAACGAAAATTCTAGTCTATTAAAAAATAATAATACATGTCAAAACTACATTTCAAAGACATGATCATTATAGAGTTAGCATCACCATCACACATCTTACTAATATTTATGAAAAATAAATTTTATATATTCTAAATGGGAAGGGGGTCAAGGATCAGAATGCCATCCCAGCCTCTCCCCAAACACCATACTTGAAAAATTCCCCGAACCCATCTCCATACCTATTTTTTATCTTTCAAACCTGACCCATTAGGATCGAAACCCACAAAGACTCTTACACGAGAGAAAATTTGTCACATCCCGGGATCGGCTCCACAGTCGCACGATATTGTCCGCTTTGGGCCTCCCTCTCTGCCCTCATTGTTTTGTTTCTGGGAGCTCAGGAGCAACTTCCTAGTGGGTCACCCATCATGGGATTGCTCTAGTCCCCAACTCGCTTAACTTCGGAGTTCCTATGACTCCGAAGCCAGTGAGCTCCTAAAAGGTCTCATGCTAGATGGAAGCGGATATGCACATATAAAGCACATCACCCCCTCTCCGTTGGTCGATGTGGGATGTTACAAAATTATCATCCTTATTTTATAAAATGTAATAGCATCTCCAACTAGTGGCACCCTGGTGCTGCTTCTAATTTCCACCCTAGTGCTTTGAGCATTAGTTTATGGTCAGCTGACATTGTACATGTCTTGCACTTATTTAGAGAGCTTAGAAAGGAAGAAAACATTTGGGCTGAGGCAAATGCCCTAAAGAAAACACTTTATTAATTGTCATGTCATTATCTTGAGATAGTAGGTGGTGCAACCTAGTATTGTCCATTTGCTTTTTAACTTTATAAGGAGGCGAAGTTGCAGCACGAGATTTGACAAAGTAATTTGCCTTCATTTTGGAAATACAAACCGTTTCCACAAAATATTCATTTACGCGAGGTTTCCTTTAGGATTGGGCACGATTTGGTTTGGATCGATTCTTACTTTAAAAGGAGGCGAATCCAGTACTATTTACTTAGTTTGGTTTGGTCTGGTTTTAACAAAAAAATTTATAAAACTGTCCGATTCAAGTTGAACCTATTTCAGTCCAATTCCGGTCTGGTTCGATTTGGAACCGAATTATTATCATTATTACTATTATTTCAAATTATTTTTTTATACAAATTTCAATTGAAATTTTATTTTGTTGGCTTGAAAATTAACAAATTATTCAATTTCATGCAAAAAGAAATATTAAGGCTAGAAAAGAGAGATGTTTTGAAATTGAACTTGGGTAAATATTAGTTATAAGATTAAAAATATAACATTGGATATAAATAAATATTACAATTATATATTTTTTAATTTAGCCGATTCGGTTCGGCTCGATTCGGTTTGTTAAGGGTATAGAACCAAAACGGGATTCGGTTAGAACTGGTTCGGTTTGACTTTTTGGTCAACACGATTTTTTTCGATTTTTTCCAGTCCAGTTTGGTTTGGTTGATTGATTCTTCGATTCCAATGCCTACCCCTAGTTTCCTTTGTCGGCATAATATCCACGAATATAGAGGATATTGTCTTTTTTTGGGAGGAGAATATTTTGAAATCTATCCATGCACTTATCATATAAGTATTGATAATTTCAGCGATAATATCGAGGAAATTTCATATCCGAGAATTTCACTCTCTCTTCATCAACATATGGACAAAATATCAGAATATTATTGATAATATAACAAATATTAGGATATGTATATGGAATGAAAAAAGACAACAACAAAAAAAAAAAAAAAAAACGACAATTGCATGTGCACACACAAAGGGATTCGATGCCTTTTGGGATGGAGTTGAGTAGCTTATGGAAAGAATCTGAGACCCAATCTTCAAATGATTTTGTTTATGGGCAACATCAATCGATCTTAGATCCAAATGACTACTCTTCATAGTACGCATACTCTACACATAGAAATGATGAAGACAATGAAAATTTTGAATCTCATAGGAACTCTGTGTGGTACTAAGTCATTCATGTATCTTACTATGCAATATATAAAATGTAAAATATTTGAGTAAATCATTATAAATGAATGATTATATAGTATGTTTAATCTTCTTTCATTAATTACTACATATTTTCTATACTCACAGTGTTTGTCAACTTGCTATATAATCAACTTAAATCAGCCAAACACACCATGTAATGCATTTCCTTCCAATATTTTGTGATAAAACAAATAGATAATTGACAAAATAAACATCCTCTAAAGTTTCAATCAAAATTTCCAAGTTTTTCTTACAATTTCCATGATTTTTATTCAATTCTACTGATATCAATATTTTCATCAATATTTCTGTGTCTTTGAATCACCGATATTTCCCAAATCTCCGATATTTTAGACCTTGCTTAGTATTCACTACCTGCACGCACATTTTATTTCCGTTTTTCCAAAATGTAAGGCTGCACTTGTTTAGTTGGTTTGATAATATGAGTAAAGGAAGTCTAAAAGAAGGCGCAAATTAGGAAAATAATTACCATGATTTTTTTTGTTGAATTTCAAAACTACTTCCTTTTACATTGCTATTAATTATCTTTCTATATAACTTTAAAAGAGCCTCTTTCTAAATATTGTATTTCAACCTGTATATTTTTAGTTTGACCCAAAAAAAAAAACTGTATGTTTTTCAACTCTTTATTCGTAAATAAGTCTACAAAAAAAATTAAACAAATTAAAAACCATTAAAATATGTAGCTATTGCCAACAAAATAAACAAATATTATTCTAAATATTGTATTTTAACAGTTCGAATCATATATTTTTCAACTCTTTATTCATAAATATCCGTACAATAAATTAAACAAATTAAAAACCATTAAAGTATGTAGTTATTGCAACAAAATAAACAAATATGATGTTTCAAAAAAAATTAAAATGACAATCATTTAATTAAATAATTAAACTATTTCCAATTTAGATTTTGAGTGCTACTATTGTTCTTCACGTGATACCTCATTAAAATTTAATTTAAGGGGTTTAAATTGGACACATCATGCTTAAAATAAAAAATCCAATTTACTTTTTAATTCAGACATTCAAATGCTTTAGTCTCTCACTGGAAGATTATCATGTTCGTCTTACAATCCAAATATTAAAGAACGTGATCAAGGTAGAGACGTGGAGAAGATAATGGTGTCTTTGGAAGAAAGAGAGAAACTGAAAAGAAATGAAAAAAAAAATGGAAGCGAGACTAAACAGCTGCAACACACGTTAGGTTTTATGTGTGATGTGTCAACATTAGAGTCTCTTAAATGAAATTTTAATAGTGTGACATGTGAAGAAGAAAAATTAACCAAATCATTACAGAGAAAATCTAAACAGATGATTAGGATGCTTGAAAAACACTGAACTAACGTTTAGCCCAAAAGTGATAAGTGGAGATGTTAGTTTAATATGATGTGACACACAGAGACACTTTTCCTCCCAATGCGTGTATGTGCTCCTCAAATCAAACGGGCGTGAAGAGTGCAAGCGTTGCGCGAGTTAAATACCAACTAAAAAATGTTCACAGTAAGTACCCAAGAAATATCAACGAGTTCTGACTCTCTTCTTTCCCAGGAAGAGAAAAAAAGATTTCTGAATTCTCTTAGTGGGAGAGCGAGAGAGAATCAAATCACAAATGGAAGCTTTTAGCTTTGAGAGGAAGATTAAGCATTACAGCAGCTATCAGAGGATACTCCTAGTTGGAGAAGGAGACTTCTCTTTTTCTGTTTGCTTAGCCAGAGCTTTTGGCTTGGCTGTCAACCTGGTTGCGACTTCTCTTGACTCCAGAGGTAATTTTAGATCATCATTGACTTGTGTCAACGTCCAAGTACTTCATTTTTAACTCATTATTTCTGGCCAATTCCTTGGTTTTCAAGCAACCCAGTTTGAAATTTAAATAAAAACATCCAATTTTACTCTAAATTTGGTTACTTTTTCTGTCTGCAATTTGACTCTGTGTTTGGTTTTAGAATTTACATTTTGGTAATGACTCAAAAGAAATAATAGATGGAGGGGACCGAAGATTTTGTCTTCCAAATGAAACAACCTAGAAGGTTCCTGATTGAAATACTTTGCATGCTGATTGTAGAGTCATCGATGGTGAAATGATAGATAGAGGGGTCCTATCAATTTTTTGTTTAAACTAGAGGGTTTCTGAATCCTGATTGAAATCATTTGCATCCTAATTGTAGAGTCATTAATGGATAAGTAATAGTTAAAGGGGCCCAAAGATGCAATCTTTTATTTTATTTTAGAAAGAAATTAGAGGGTTCCTTATTGAATCCTTTGTGTGCTAATTGTAGAGTCTCTTATGCTGAAGTATTCAAAAGCTTTGAGCAATGTGAAAGAATTAGAGGCAAGGGGATGTATAGTATTGCATGAGGTGGATGTCCACAGCATGAGCCAACACCCTTTCCTGATTAGATTACGCTTTGATCGCATAATCTATAATTTTCCTCATGCCGGTTACTTGCTTGGTCCCCTTTCTTCTGAACGCAACAGGTTCCAAATTTGGTAAGTTCAAACAAACCCATACATGCATCCCTTTTAAAGATCATGGTATATTCTCTATGGTATTTTGTGTTCATCATGTGTTTATTTTAGGGGAAGGGGTTTAGTGTTTATGATTTATGTTAGAAAGATAAGTAAATGAAGAATTGAAACAATGTAGTTTTGAGCATAAGCATAACACTAGCACAAAAATGTAAACAGAGGATTTTGAACTCTAAATTAAATTCATGCATTTGCAGGTTTCATCAGGATTTGATCAGGGGATTCCTAAAAAATGCACGCGAACTGCTGACCGCGATAGGAGAAATTCATGTGACACACAAGACAACATTTCCTTTCAGTGAATGGAAAATAGTTGAGTTAGCACATGAGGTTGGGTTATATCTGGTTGCTGAAGAACCGTTCTCATTATGGGATTATCCAGGTTATGAAAATAAGAGAGGAGATGGGCTGTGTGATCAAACTTTTCCGGTTGGAATGTGTAGCACCTTCAAATTTGCCAAGCTGTTCTACCATTCTAGCCCTTCTTGTTTCCACCTTGGCATTACTGCTTCGGGTCCATGGTCTGGTTATTCTGGAATTAATGGTCCTCGCATGGAAAGGTAAGCCCCAGCATATGAATTTTGTTTTTGTTTATTTCAATTTGTTGTGATTTTTAATACTACAATGAGCAAATGACTTGAAAATGTGCATCATTTTGAAATCTGGCATACGACTGTACCCATTATTTACAGTAATGTTACTGGGAATATGCCAAAATATACAGGTGCTATTGAATATAGCAAGGCTTATAGTTCAAGGGGTAGATCACTTGAATTTTCTCATGTGCTTGCTTAACTTGTTGAAAGAAAATAAGCACATAAGAAATTTCCAAGTGCTCCAATATCCCAGTCTCATATGGAAAACTTTAAACTTCCACTTTTTCATCTTCAACATTAACTTGATTTAGTGCTCCAAAATATCTTACTCTTGTTTTTTTCTTGCAGGCCATTTTGCATATAAAGTGATCTCTACTGCTGGTGAGGAATAGTATCAACAGATATCTTTTTTGTTTGATAGGTATGTTGTTTTTCATTCAAGCATGAGTCCCCTTGTTTCTATGCCTAAAACTCGACAAACATTCAACTCATCAGCTTTAGGCCTAGTTTGGGATTGCTGTCACTTTTAAAAAAAGTTGCTTCTGCTGTGCTTTAAAAATAATTAGCTGTAAAATAAAGCAGCTCCATGTTTGGTAAACACTATTTTTAAAGTGCTGTTAGTACAAAAAGCAGTGTTAAAACTGTTTGGTAAACTTTAATATAAAATTGTTGTAACTGTGAATAATGACTAAAATAGACATGATGTTAAAAGTGTTATGCACTAATCATGTGGTGGTAGTGGTAGTGATAGTGACGGAGTGGAGTTGAGGGTGGAGATGAAGGCGAAGTTGATGGTTGTGGTGGTGGGGATGGCAGTTGTGGAGGTGGCGATGGTAGTGGCAACATGGTGGTGGTGGTGGATGTGGAGGTTTTGGAGGAGGTGGTGATGGTGGTGGTGGTGGTGGAGGTGGTGGTGGTGGTGGTGGCGGCGGTGGTGGTGAATGAGGAGGAGGTGATGTTGGAGGTGGTGGTGGCGGAGGATGAGGAGGAGGAGGATGTGGTGGTTGTGGTGGTGGTGGTGGTGGCGGTGGTTGTGGAGGTAGTAAATGTGGTGGTGCAAGTGGTGGAGTTGGATGTAAAAGTGGAGGTGGTGTCATTTTTTTAAAATGAATGATGATATTTTGAGAATTAAAAAAATTCATTAAATGTTTATCTCTGCTTCTTTTGAAAGCAGCTTTGAAAAGCAACCCAGAGTCAGCTTTTAAAAGCTGCTGTCAAAAGGCCACTGCTTTTAAAATAATCAGGATATTTTAATTTTACCAAACACCTTAAACTGCTTAACTTTAAAGTTAAGCAGGTTTTTGGCCAAAAAAAGCAATCCCAAACGGGGCCTTATTTTGATTGTCATGTCTTGTGCATAAGATCATGACTTGGCTGTATCTAGCTCTGTGTATAGGATTTCAGTTTTAAATCATGTTCCAAGCTTGTAAGATGAGCCCCTTTGTGGTGAAATGCAGGATGATATCAGTCAAGTACTCTGTTGCTATATACCTCTTCTAATGTTGACATGCCCTTCTTCATTCAGAAAGCCTTCACCTTTCCGTTGCTGGATTAATCTTGTGCTTTGTACAGATTAGAACAATACTAACATGTCTCACTTTTTGTCCCGCTTCTTGATCCTTGAATCTCTGATAACATCTTATGAGGTGGTTTCGTGATCCATGTATCACTACGAATTTGTCAACCCCCTCAATGTGAGATTGAGCATCTATCTGAAACCCTATTCCACTAAAAATGTTTGAAATTAATTGGTGTTTCAATTCAGCTTGAATTTAGAAGGTACTTTACCCTGTACATGCATTAGCTAAATGTAGAGTGACTTATTGTCAAAATGTAGCTGATATAAAGAATAGAACCTTCCATAATCCCCCTCCCCCTCAATACACTCTGCCTCAGATGCATGTTATCAAAATTGTTAGAAGCCTCTTCAAAACAAGGGCTGGTTTCTTTATCAGTTTTGAGTTTAGGTTCTTTAGATTTTGCCATTTTAGCCTGGACCTTTCACTGAGTGGATTGGTAGGCCACCTGAGCTAGGCCTACTGCATCCAAGGGTACACACACAGGAGCTTTAGTTACAGCAAGATGGCAGCTAGCGAACTGATTCTTTTTAAGACTTGAGAGAATCAAAATCTCATTAGTAACAACTTTCTTTTATTTTGTTTATCTATTTTTTATTTCAAATTTTGATAGTATTGTAATAATTAATTTGTTTAAGTCCATTCTCAATGCATATAGAACTCAAATTACTCACATATATAATGTTCGTACGCATACAAATTAAATAGTATCTTATCTTAAATTGGGTCGTATCGTATATTTATTGGATTCAGGTCAAAATCTAATCCGTCTTTGACAGGTCTGACATAGACATGCATCATCTATTAAGAGGCACACAGATTCACAAGAATTGAAGCTTAATAGGTTTCCAACAAGGGCAACATGAAGTAAATATTATTTAGTGCTCATGAATAGCACAGATTGCTAGAAGTGGTAGATGTTCAAACATAGACAGGCTGGGAAAGAAGGATCCAGATTCTTTGCTTGAATTTTCTCTACTAAATCCTGCTTGACTTTTAATGTGAAGATGCCACCACAATAAAATATAATCCAAGGGCTATAAGAATCACTTATGCTAATACATAGAATCTAAACAATTTATTATTATCTTCTTCTTCTACTGACCACAATAAATCTCCTTCTTATCATAGGCAAACCCAATTCGAGAAACTCAAATGGACGCTATGGCCATGATAAAATCAATTGCTCTCGTTTCTTCTTCTACGCTACAAATTAAAATCGCATTTTGTTTTTTTATTAATTGGCTTTTGCAGATCTATCATCTTATACTCGGGTTTGTTTGATAAGGAGGATTAGATTAGACTGGACTATACGAGCAAAATGCTTACATTTGATGTGCATTCAAACATAATATGGATATGTTGCCTAACTTGAAGGATGAATGGGAACTACCTATAAAAGGTTGATGACTAAAACTTATTTGCCTAATCCCTTTGAAAATTGAGGGATTATGAGGGATAAGTTTTAGTTATCAACCTCTTATAAATAGTCCTCATTCATCCTCGAAATTAGACAACAATATCCATATTATGCCTTGATTGCTAGTCTAGTCTGATCCTCCTTATCAAACAAGCCTAAGAAGAAAAAAAATACTTTCATCCAAGATTGGAATAAGAGGAGAAAAAGTGATTCCCCCGTTGATTGCTTTGGATTCAAAACACAGATATTCTCTTTCTTGTTTTTAATACGAGAGACTGCAAGAAAGGTATTAATTGGGTCTGAAATTAAAAGGAAAACAAATAGAAGACGGAAAAAAAGGGGCAGCAAATGGAAAATAGCTTCTTTGAATTCTAGACTGAGAAGAGAAAGGTAAACCATGATTTTGTCATGTCCATGCGACTAGAGAAAATTTAAGTGTTGACGTTGTAAATTTAGGCTTTGTCGGTTCTAATTTATGAAGGAGGAGACATAAAGATATTAGATTCTGGTTGTTAAAATATTTTATTATGTGTTTTCCTTTTTAATAGTATATGTGTTAATTCTTTTATCCCTTTGATTATATTTTATTGAGGTGGCATCCCACAGTAAAAGCCAAGCCAATCTTAGAAGAGAAAATCCAAGCAAAGGAACCGGATCTGGTAAAGAAAACTAGGAGACCTTACAATTACCAAGACGCATGCATGTAAGCCTTCAAATTTGTAATTCTTTGGAAATCATGAATGGGTTAATATGACACACTTTTTCTTGTTAATCCCTATGTGTGCTTTCTTAATCAAACGGTTAGGCCCCCTACCCTGCAACTCTAAAGTAGATGTTCAAGAAAAAAAATTAAAAACAAGAGATCTAAAATGGGAGAGAAAACGATTATGCACTATAGCAGCTCTCAGAAGATACTCTTAGTGGGTGAGGGCAATTTCTCCTTTGCTGCTTGCTTAGCCAAAGAATTTGGCTCTCCTGTGAAGATGGTTGCAACTTCTTTCGACTCCAAAGGTAACAAGGGAGAAATTGACTACCATCGTTATCGCACTTGCTACAAGTCAATTTCCTGACTGAATTCATTTACACCTTAACCGCAGAGTCTTTAATGCAAAAGTATTCAAATGTAATGAGCACTTTGAATGAGCTAAAGGGCAAGGGATGTACGGTGTTGCATGAGGTGGATGTTCATACCATGAGCCAACACCCCAAGCTAACGAATAGACGATTCGATCGCATTGTCTTCAATTTTCCTCATGCAGGTTTCATCTCGATGGAACATAACAAGATCCAAATTAAGTAAGTTTAAATAAAGACTAATATGCTACATGGATCATAATATGGTAGACAAGAAGAAGGATGATGGTAATGTCTCTTTTGACTGATGTATTTTTCAGGTTGCATCAGGATTTGGTCAAGGGGTACTTCACCAGTGCACGTGAAATGCTCACAGAAAGTGGAGAAGTTCATGTGACTCACAAGACCACCCATCCTTTCAGTAAGTGGAACATAGTGAAGTTAGCAGAAGAGGTTGGGTTGTTTCTGGTTGAGGAAGCACAGTTCACACGAGCAGATTATCCAGGTTATATAAACAAGAAAGGAAGTGGAAGGAAATGCAACCGTACTTTCCGTGTTGGACAGTGTAGCACCTACAAATTTGCCAAGCTACCACTTCAACTGTACTTTCCGTCTTGAATTCTTGAATTACTTGTGCTCTCTCATCTCTAGGCCTCAGCATGCATATTGTATTCTTGGTGTTTAGGTTATGCAGCAACAAGCCAGCTAGTGAATTGGGTCATTTCTCTCTAAGGAGTTTTCATTTAGCTGAGAATCTTCCTCCTTATAAGATCAACCTACTTGATGGAAGACAACTCTTCTTGTCTGTTGTAGACCCGAATTGTTTATGGGGGATAGCCAATTGATGGAAGACAATGACTGCAGTGCAGAAACAGGCCTTTCTTACACCAGTTATATTTTGAATCTCTTATGCTTCCATCCTGTCAAGTACAAAACAGATAAAAGATGTTGATTCAAGGAATCAATACCACAAAACAACTAAACTAAAACTAAACTAAATAGGGAGGTGAGTAGAAATTACCTCAAGACACATGTGGGTAAAGAGTCATTATTTTGTAAAGCTACTTCTGTTCACCTATTAGCTAACATTGCTTCCTCTATACTCCTAATTACAACACTAAGGCCACTGCCACTTCCTAAAGCTTCAACTGCAGCTCGGTGTGCATTTTTATGCCATTTGAGCAAATTGTAAGATTGTAGAAGGGACCATCTTGCTTGGTTTGACATCTTCTCAAGATAACAATGAAAAGAAAAGGTTTGAAAATTTTAGTATTTTTAGTGAAAGAAGATCACAGAACTACAGAAGATAAGTTATAGAGATACCTCAGCAACAGACAATGGGGGTTGTAGAAGAACACAGATGCTCCTAAATAGATTTTCATCATTTTCTCCACCCTCTGCCTCACCATAAACAAGAGCTTCAGCAGCAATGCCTGCAAAAAGCACCATGCAGTACCTGAACATTATGTGAAGAAATTAGTAAATATTGGGCATGAGGTATTACTCTTACTTCCACGAGACTTCATCAGAAGAGCTAATTAAAGCTAGAACTTAGGAAATCTGGGATATTTTGCATAAAATTCAACCCAAAGCAAAGGGCAAAACATTTTGCAAAATTCTTCAGCAATCAAAGCTACACATACAGACAGAAATAGATTCCCACATAAGATTAAGACAGAATCTATCTACAGTTCAGTTTCAGCATATTTGTTCAAGGAAGGTAGATACATCACCCTATAGAGAGTTTTTGTTCTCGTCTGCAATTTCATTGCACACCCACCTGTCAAAAGCAGAGCCATCAAGTCGTCCTTCAGCAAGGTCATTGGCCATTTTCTCATCCCAAAATTGAGTTCCTGCCTGTAATATGGTAGAGTAATATGAGCTCTTCATTTGATCCTAACAGCACTGCATTACCATGAAGCTATATGTATGGAATCAAGGAGTACAAGCCAATTGCTAGCATCACTACATATCAATAATGAATGATCATCCTAAAACAAGGTCAAGATTTTAAATATTGCAACCCAAAAGAATGAATATGAGACTGTCTCTCTAAGAAGACGAAGAACCTAAGCACAATGAACAACCCCCATAAGAACTAAATTAATCATTTAGTTACTATCCTCTGAGTTTTCATAAGATTAGACACGTACTTGAACCTGAGTGGCATCCTATGCTAATTCTACTTAAGGAAAGTATTCAATGAAGTCAATTAAAGCAACCCTGCGTGGAAGATTATAGATGACAATATGAAAAATGGCAATAGATATATATGATTGCTCTGTAAAGATGCTACATATGACCTACCACCATCCATACAATATAGTAAAGAAAGAGCAAGAATCACATTCAAATCTTAAATCCATCCAATAGTAACTTCACATAGGTTTAGAATCCATTAAAGTTTTAACAGATAAGGTTCCAACAAACCAAACCAACATACAGATACATACACATATATAGACATATTTTATCAAGATATCTCCATGAATGGTAATTGCTTGAAACACATTATGATGGCATGAATAAATTGGTCAGTGAACAACAAACAAAACCAAGTGATGCCCATATGAAGCACATAGCAGGCAAGAAATTACCTGCCCTTGAATGCCCATTTGCATTGCAACAATTGGATCTAATATCACCCCACGAATTGGGCAACCCATTAGATAAGCTGCAATTTAAAACAGCAATCAGTTAATAGCACAGGGTTTACACTCTTGCAAGGATGTAGCTTTAGTAGAGTCTAGTGGTTGAAGAAAGAAATGTAGTCCTATAGAAGAATTTAACGAATGGTTCATGCCCTCGGTCCAAACCACAACATCGCCCAAATTTGTAACATTCAACTCTAAAATACGGATCAGAAAAAAAGAGTGTTTACCTATTAGCAGATGCCCTGCTTCATGAATGAGGATCCGACGTCTATTTGGGGGCCAATAACTTGAGATTTGAGCTAAACAACTACCACCAAGAAAGACAGAATCTGCAAATGCTAGCCCCAATACTGCTGCAAGGTTAGGCCTGAGATCGATGCCTTGAGAAAGAAGAAAAGATATCCCGCCAAGAAAGGCAATCAAAATGGGAGCAGAACTTTCAGAAAGGCCCCACTTTTTTGGAGCAAATTTCGTTGCTGGACAAAGTAAGTAAGAAATGGAGTATTAGATCATATGGAGTCAGGACATGCATTTTGCCTCAGAAAAGAGTATTAGATACAGAACATTTTCCACAAGAGCAGAAAGGTATAAATCTCTAACAATTAGTTATGCACATGAAAAACCAAGTCAAAGACCTTCTAAACAATCGGAATAAACACCTTCTAAACCAGTTGAAGTCTTCAACACTGTTGGTGTAACATCACGCGTTCCCTCCATAACTGCAGGGTTGAAAGGAAAAAAAACACAGAAAACAACATGAGATAATGGCATGAGCCCAAAAGTTCAAATGCATCCAAGAGGGCCTTAAAAATGTGTATATCAGAGCTGATCAGACCTAAGATTTAACATAATAATGATACCATGCAGGCAGATGGATACATAATTTTTCACTAATAAGACAACCAAAACTCCATCCGACAAAATCAACAAACTTCATGAACAGCCAATTATTGTTGGGCAACAATTAGGATCAAATGGTAAGCAAATTATGCAAATACCCAAGAAACCTTATATCAAAATAAGCAAAGTTACATTACCAACGTTCCTGAACTTTCCAAAACTGGGCAAGAAACCCTTGTCCTTGAGAAAGCCATAAGCTTTGCCCACCAGCTTCATATTATCAGCATTCAGACACGTGTCCAGGACCTCCCAATCCCTCTCCTGCCCAACAAACCCCAACTCGCCGAGTGGAGGAAGGGTCGGGTCAGCTGGTAAGGACCCATTAACAAACTCAATTGGGTTTTGCTGGGTCTCAATGGATTGCAGGAACCTGAGAGCTCCAGCTAGGTCCTTGCGCTTCACTGCCTCCTCATACTCTTTCCATTCTCGAAGAGCGGATCTTTGGACGGTTTGGCGCCTTGAGGTGTGAAGGAATTTGGAGGATTGTGGTGCACGTGGGGGTGTTTGGAGGAAAAGAAAGGAAAATTGGGAGGAAAATGGCTGAGGTGAGAGAAAGTGAGGGATGGATTTGAGGTTTGGCGAAGCAAAAGCCATGAGAGGCAGCCCGCTGGAGAGCAGTTTTGTTTATTAGTTGGGTTTTTTCATTGGCTTTGGAAGTTGGGTACGCAGCAGCTGGTTCATTGGTTCATATCACGACTAATTTGAGCCTAGCTGGTTCATTGGCTATGTCCATTTGACCACAATCAATTTGAGCCTAGCCCTTTTAAACTTTAAATCCTAAATCCTACCCCTCGGATCCATAACAATTAAATAATAGCAATCATAATCCCCGAGCCTTGGATTTTGATTTCAATCTTCACATTTCAAACAAGTCTTGAATGCAAGTCTCCAACTCTAAGCATCAAGCTTGTTACTTCAAATACAAACCTTGAGCTTGGACCTCAATCATGCATCTCAATCTCCAAAGTCTGATCCTAGATTCGAATTCTAAGTAATCGGAATGAGAATAAGATGAAATCAAGTTAGTAACTTAATTGGATTCCATTATTTGTTTACACATATTGGAAACAAAGTTTGGAATGAAATTTGAGATTAGGGTACTATCTTAGTGGTAGTGTAGAATAACCATTTTCCTTATAGGTTATATTAGCTACATGTTTTTTTTAGAACTATATTAGCTACATGTTAATGGTAAAAACGAGAGGGTACATTTGATACACAAAGTGACATGCTGATAAAAATATCGAGTTCATTACCTATAACACACGTATTGGGTATTGAGTTCACCATTTGAGACTTCAGGTTTTCTAGAAACTAAATTCCTTTCCATTTCTTTTTCATTCAAAACTAGCACCAATGAGTAGGAAGTCACCCACACGAGCTAGAGGACTGTGTCTGTGTGTGGCAAAATCCTCTTAATATACTTTCACTAATTTACCACAATTTCTTTTTGGAAAAAAAATATAAAAAGAAAGCTTTTAGTGCGGATACAACATTAGAAGAGGACGAGGAAGCAGGGGAGACCAGGAGAGACTGAAGAGTGTGGTGTGCATCCAAAAAGTCCAACCAAAGCAGGGCCCATCCGTGCTTGTGATGCTGTTGGTGATATTATTGCTGTGATCATAAGTTCAATAGCACACTACGCCACTTTTTTCTCAATCTCAAAAGCATCGAACATCTTGAACCTCTCCTCAACGATAAGAGAAATCCACGACCCCCACACAATACCCAATCAATCCCATTGTTCTTCCCGTCCACATCTCCCCCAATCAAACTCTTCCATTTCTCACTCCTCACATCCACAAAACCAACCACCCATTAACACTCTCTTCTCTCAGTCAACTTCTCTGTTTACCATTGAAACTTGAACACCACCTCCAACAACAACAATGGCTTCTGCCACCACACCCACCACCTTCTCTCTCCTCCAAACCACCACCGCCTCCACCTCCCGCACCCGCTCTTCTCTCTCCCATGTCTCCTTACCCTCTTCTCTCAAACCCACCACTCTCCGCCGCCTCGGCTTCTCCGCAGCCGATCCCCTCTTCGCTCTTCAGGTAGCTTCCAAAATTCGATCCTTTGG